TCCCCGCAACCCAGGTACATGCCCCTGACTGGAACCGAACCTGGGACCCTTCAGTCCGAGGTCGACGCTCTATCCACTGAGCCAAACCGGTTTCAGCTAAAATATATATATTTTTAAAATAACATACTGAGGAACAAATTTAACAAAAAATGCAAAATTTGCAAAACATTCTTGAAATAATTTTTAAAAGACCTAAATTAGAAAGATATGCCATGTTTCTGGATCAGAAGAATTAATATTAAATGGCAATGCTCCCCAAATTTATATACACATTCAATGCAATTATATCAAAATCCTAGCTGGTTTCTTTGTACAACTGATAAGTTAATCCTAAAATTCATAGGAAAATGCAGTAGACCCAGAATAGACACAATAATCTTCAAAAAGAATAAAGATGACTCATACTTCCCTATTTCAAAATGGTACAAAGCTACACTAATCAATACCATGTGCTACTGGCTAAGGATAGACACACTAGTATAGATCAATGGAATAGAATTAGAATTTACACACACACACACACACACACACACACACAAACACCTCACTTTTATGGATAATTGATTTTCAACCAGGGTGGCAAAAATATTCAGTGAATAATGAGTAGTCTTTTCAGCAACTGATTCAGGGACAACTGGATACACACTCACAAAAGAATTAATTTGTACCTTTATCTCACACCATAGACAGATATAAATAAAAAGTTATAGCTAACACTATAAAAATCTTAGAAGAAAATATTGGGGTAAGTTCTTTATGATTTTGAATTAAGCAACAGATTCTGACATATTATGCTAAAAGCACAACAAAAAATAAAATTTAAATCAATTGTACTTCATCAAAACTTAAAACTTTTGCATCAGAGGACACTAACAATAAAATGAAAAGACAATACTCAGAATCAAAGATAGTATTTTCAAATTATATACCTGATAAGGGATGTGTATCCAGAATATATATAAAAAAACCTCTTAGAATTCAAAACTTAAAAGGCAAGTAACTCAATTAAAATGAACAAAGATCGCAACAGACATTTATCCAAAACAATGACCAAAAGGCAAATGAAAAGATACTTAACATCATTAGTCATTTGCAAAATGCAAAACAAAAATATAATGAGATACTAATTAACACATACTAGGATGGCTATAAATGTTGGCAAAATGTGGAAAAATTGGAACCCTCAGACTTTGTTGGTGGGAATGGAAAATGTAGCCACTAAGGAAAACAGTTTGGCAGTTCCTCAAAATGTTAAACATGCATTTACCCTATGACTCAGCAATTCCATATATATATATAGTGGCTATATATATATATATATATATAGGCTATATATGTGTGTGTGTGTGTGTGTGTGTGTGTGTGTGCCTAATATGCAAATTGTTCCTGTGGGAGTTCAACTGGGAGACCTATTGCTCTCTATGACATGCGCTGACCATTGGGGTGGTGTGGAACAAAGGGAGGCCCTGGCTGTCAGCTGGAAGGCCCCCATCAGCCCTGATCACGGGCCAGGCCTAGGGACACTACCCATGCATGAATTTCATGCACTGGGCCTCTAGTGAATATATATCAAGATAATTGAAAACATGTTCACACAAATTATATGCAAATATTCACAGCAGCATTCTTTTTTTAAAATATATTTTTATTGATGTCAGAGAGGATGGGAGAGGGAGAGAGAGACAGAAACATCAATGATGAGAGAGAATCTTGGATTGTCTGCCTCCTGCATGCCCCACACCAGGGATGGAGCCCGCAAACCCAGGCATGTGCCCTGATCGGGAAAAGAACTGTGACCTGGTTCAGAGATCAATGCTCAACCACTGAACCATGCTGGCCAGGCTCACAGCAGCATTATTCTTAACAGCCAAAATGTGGAAACAACCTAAATGTCCATCAATTTAGTAAAGGATAAGTAAAATGTGGTATATCTATACAATGGAATATTATTCAATAATAAAATAGAGTGAAGTTCTGATACTTGTCATAACTTGGATGAACCTTGATACTATTATGTTAAGTGAAAGAGGCAGACATAAAAGACCATGTATTATATAAGTCCATTTACATGAAATGTCCAAATAGGAAAATTCATATAGTCAGGTAGCATATTAATGTTTACTAGGGTTTGGAGAAATGGGGGACTAGGGAATGACTGCTAATGGGTAAGGAGTTTTATTTATGGCGATAAAAATGCCTTGGTGTTAGATTTCAGAATTCTGATGATTGCAATATCTTGTGAATATACTAGAAAATTACTGAATTGTGGATGTTTCACCTTAAAATGATGAACACTACAGTATGTACATTATAACCCAATTTAAAAATGATTGGAAAATTGTATTTTAAAATTTACATTTGTTATTTTCTTGGATATCTTTATCAATATATATTAAGCTCCCTTGTTCTTTTGACGATGTCTGTTTTTCTGTTTTGAATTCTAGTGGGAATGAATGCTAGTGACAGACATTTTGGTTTTCACTAGGTCTTTCTTCTTCCTTGCACATAGTGCTCATTCTGGTACATGTGTCCCAGCATAGATTTACTGGCATAGGTTTAGTGGTGGCATTGCATGGTCAGCGTGTCTGTACTGTGGTACTAATGGAGATCACCTGATTTTCTCCCACTCCAGGTGCCTTCAGGACAATGAGTGGAACTATATCAAAGCTGCTCAGGTCTTCACTACGCTCAAGGTGAGGTCTGGGCATCAAGTGGGTTAAAGATAGATGTTTCTGGGCCTTTGGGGAGGCCAAGAACATGAAGGCTGGTGCCCTGGAATAAAACTCAGGGAGCTGGCTCTTCTGACACCTTGACTCCTTCTCTCCAGGCCCAGGGCAAGATCCCAGAGGAGGCCTTCAAACAAACCTCTTAAAAGGAGCTCTTGAATGTCATCTTTGTCGTCATCCATATCATTTATCTTTTCTCCTGCCTAAGGCCATACCCATGACTGGGCCTGGAGGCCTGACTGACCAAGAAGCCAAAGTTACCTAACCACCTGAAGTGTCAATTGTTCTGTTTATTCTTCCCATTCATGATCACTGTGGTTGTGCTGTTGTTTTATTCTTTTTCATAATAAAGAGTGATGTTACACATTCTATGTGTTGTGTCTTGGATCTCTCTTCCTGTGCCCAACCATGAGCAATGGCCCTTCGCTCTCCATCCCCAGCTCCCCCATTCACTCCGGCAATCTCTAGCAGATGCATCAATCTTGACTACATGGGCAGTTTGTCAATAGATTCTAATAAGAATGGACACACAGTGCTTCCAGAGATTGCCCTTCGGAGACAGTGTGACTCAGTCATGTGCTTTACCTAGTGGCCCACAGAAGCAGGCATGGGACCTGGCACAAAGGCATTTTGCAAGGAATGCCTACTGCAACATGTATGAACCATTACACTAAATGAAGGAAATAAGTTACAAAGGACCATATAATGTATGACTCCACTTAATATGAAACATTCAAAGTATGAAAATCCATAGATATAAAGTAGATTAGTGTGTGCCAGGGTCAGGAGCAAAATGCAAATGGAACATGACATCTTAATGGATATAGGATCTTTTAGGGTGATGAAAATGTTCTGGAACTATATCGTGATGATGGTTGTACAAAATTTGATTGTACTAAATACCACTGAATTGTTCACTTTAAAATGGTTAAAAATGTAAGTTTATGTTATGTGATTGTTTTTCCACAATTAAAAACACACACACTAAAATGTGGATGAACCCTGAAAGTACTTTGCTAAGTGAAAAAAGCCATTTATATGAAATATCTAGAATAGGTAAACCACAGTGACAGAAAGCAGGTACGTGGTTGCCAGGGCATGGGTGGAGGGGAATGAGCACAAGTGCTTAATAATATGGGGTTTGTAAATAATTTGTGAAACTAGATAATAATGATGGTTATACAACATTGTGAATATACATAATGCTACTGCATTGTACAATTTAAAATGATTCAAGTGGTAAATTTTATGCTGTCTATATTTTGTCATAATCTTTAAGAATCTACAGTGGAGTTCTTTTAAAAATGGCATTGAATTTTTCATGAATATAATATACTTACTATAGAAATGTTGAAAATACTGAAGACTATAAAAACCAAAGGGGAAAACCCCCACAATCCAAATCATGAGCACAATCTTCACTGCTAATTTTTGCTTTTCTTTATACATACTCTATACCCATATAACATCATCTGGATAACATTGTTTTATCGAATATTTTTTCACTTGGCATCATTTCTTTGGAATTTTCCCTATATCACTAAAGTCTTCTAAAACATTTTTAAAGCAATTTGCAAAATACTACAGGTAAAGGAACAGAAAAATAGTTGACCTCCATGGCAGCTCCCTCCCACTTTCCTCCCCTCTGTGGCCCCCTGAACAGTGAAAGAACTTGGGAAGGCCACCCAGAACCTCCAGAGTCTGGCCTTAAATTGCCTTTCCTCTCTCAGCCTGCTTTCCTGACATGTCCTCTACCCACCTGACTTTAGGTGCAGAACCTATGGTGGGTCAGGCCTAGAAGGGGCTCACAATGGGATAATGGGATACTTTAGCATTTAATCTGTTCTCATTTTAGTAGTTGCTTACCTCTGTTCTACTTCATCTTCCATTGTAGGTGATAAGCAAACTATGAGATTGGGGGGAGGGGAGGCCGGTATGGGCACAAAGATATTTGAGTATTAATCCTCTTCCATGAGTTCAGAATTATTTTTCCTCATGCCCACGCTCGAGCTCCCACATATTTAAGTGTAAAATATATCGTGGGCATCAGGAGGGGAGACAGAACATAAGAATGGGACATGTACACACAAGGGTAGTTTGGTATTCATATGCTTCTCGCTTCCATTTTTTCCCCCTATATCCTTATCCCACCTTTACCTTGACTCTTTCTCTGTAGGAAATTTGGTAAGCAACAAGGACGAGAGACTTTGGAGAGAAACAAGACTACGATGTTTGATATTGATCAACAATCAGACCAGAGCAGCTTTCCAGACGCCCCGCCCCATTTCCTGTAGAAAATTGAGTGCCTGGGAGGGCTTCTCTCAAAGAGGGGACGTACAGTTTTGAAATAGGTTAGAATTTATCCTCCTCTCAGTCTGGAGCCTCTCTCCAACCTTACCTCCTCAACCTGCCCTTTTCCGTGGGCCGGGGGACCTGGTGATGTGAGCCTGTAAATACGGCGCTTTGGTGACGTGAATGTGTAAATACGACACTTCGGTATCCATCCGCCTAGTCAGGCGGAGCTGGTTCACTGACGTCACCGCCTGAAACCCGCGGACACTACAGGGCGGGGGAATGTAGGCTTGCTGGGGGGAGTTCCTAAAAGAGGGCAATTAATACCTAGACCCTTTGACATAAGCCTGCTTCTCTCCACCCAGCGCTGCTTTCTCTATATCCAGATTCCCGCCGCTGCACATTCCAATACCAGAAACAGCCGTGGTAGGCGGGACGGAAGTCCGTGACAGAGAGAGAAGTGGCGTTCGGCACAGCTTGGTATCAATCCGCTTTCATTTGGCCGGATCACCTTAAACTACACTAGCTCCTCCCGCAGTCGATTTTGGTATTGGAGACGAGACAAGGCAGAGCCTGTGGAGGGAAAGGTAGTTAATTTAGTCACTAGGAGCGGGTCTCTGGGGAACCCTGGGGACGAGAAGGAAAGGGAAATGCCCAAAAGTGACTATTGCTTGGCAATTACGGCCCTTAATCTAATAAAGCAGGTATCTCGTCCCAGGCGCGGGACCAATCCCCGAACACAGTCGCCGCCATTGTCTCGTGTCCTTGTGTCCATCTGACTGTCCTTCCCTCTTTCTGTAGGGCACGGCACCCTTTGAGGCAAGGAAATGAGAAAACTGCCCCTGATCCAAGCAGAGCAGGTCAGTGAGAAGGCGGGTATGGTTTGGGAATGTGGATATGAGTATCAGAGATGAATGTGGAATACGTGACCTGGTCATGAGGCATGGGCGGTGAGAGTGATAGAGGGACGGAGGTAGTTTGAGCAACACACGACGATAAAGTTAAAATGATATGTCTCTTGTTAGTGTGATTTTTCAGACCCCCACCCCACCTCCGACCGTGTTTGGGAAGGGAAAGGAATATGATAGCAGTTTCTAGTGGAGAAGTGGCGGATTATATAATAGAAGGAAGGGCTGCAGCTATTGGTAAGAAGACTTGCCTGGAGAGGGCAGGAAGGAAGAGAGGGTAAATGCAGGTTGAAGTGCTTGATAATCAAGGTCCTGAATTAGAAAAGGGTCTCATGTCCTGGTTACTAGTCTGACCAAGTCTCTCTCACCGTCGTTTAATGTGGTCTCTGGATGCATATCAATGCATTTTATATGTGTGTACGTCTGTTTCTAAGTGTGCGGTACTCCATGCTTCTGTAATCTGTAGGGGGCAGAGGACCTCGAAGGGACGGGATAAGAAAAAGAAAATTAACCTAATTTTTGTTGCGTGGGCAGTGCTTTGAAGGTGGTAGATAGCTAAGACTAGAGCAGGTAGGGGTCTAGGGGAAACTCCAGATCTATTTGCCAGCTTTCCGAACAGTCCTTTATACTCTCATTGTGTTGAAGCAATTGATAGGTTTTAGGGAGAGTATGAAAACATAAGAACTTAGATGAAATTTGAAAATAATACTTTTCATTGATTTCCCAGCGAACTTCCAAGGCTGAGCATTCCATCCCTATTGACACCACCGCTATCATGCAGGGATGTTTGGGTTGTCAGATTTGGGGAATGAAGCAGAGAAGATTGGAGATTTGGGAGAAGGGGAGGTGGAAAATTTTGGTGAAAAAGTATCTGTATCAAGAAGGCATTGATGTCCTAGATGCTGCTCTCTACCAAGGACTCAGTCTCCATTGTGTCCTGTGTCTCCATTTGTTTATCTCTGCATTTGTAAATCTCTGTGTGTTCTCTAAGTCTGTAGAACTCTCAGTTGTGAAGGTTTATAAATGATAACCCAACTTGAAGCTAGGAAATGATGAAGAGAAAAGTGCCCTGTCTGTTAAGATTGGTGTGATGTTAGAGGGACTAGAGAATTATATCCCTTCTGTTTTACCAGTTTACTAACCCCTGTTGGGTCTACTGCTGATTTAGTTGGGAGTCTTCATAAGCATTGGGGTTACAGAAGGGTAACATCTGCTTTTCTAACTTCCCATCTGATTTTTCTATCTGTATGTTTCACCCTAGCCCAGTGGTCGGCAAACTGCGGCTCGTGAGCCACATGTGGCTCTTTGGCCCCTTAAGTGTGGCTCTTCCACAAAATACCGACTTCTGTGCATGGGCCACAAAGTTTCAATCACACTGTACATGTGCGCCCGTTGCTCTTTGGCCCCTTAAGTGGGGCTCTTCCACAAAATCCCGACTTCTGTGCATGGGCCACGGAGTTTCAATCGCACTGTACGTGCACGCCCGCACTTGGTATTCTGTGGAAGAGCCACACTCAAGGGGCCAAAGAGCCGCATCTGGCTCGCGAGCCGCAGTTTTCCAACCATGGCCCTAGCCCAATTCTAAACAAGGAAAATGGTAGGGTGGTCACTGAAGAGGAAAATGATAGGTAGCAGGAAGGAGAGGAGTAGTCCTAAAGCAAGACAATGGGGGAAGGGACCAGAAGGAGGGAAACACTTGAAAAAGTACAAATATAGGGAAAGTACAAGGTCTGGCTACCAAGAGATCAGTTTCCATAACCTGCTGTTTGATTATCTGTCCATAGATCTTTTGTAGGGCTATCATCATTGGAATCAAGGAAAGGAGGAGAAATTAATCCAGATCAGTGCAGATTGGTATGGATGTGGCTGGAGACATCCTCAGTAGTCATGTAGGATGAGGTAGTGGAGATCTGCTTGGGTCCATCAGGGTAAAGAGCCAATCTAGAGATTTCTCTGTC